CTCAGGGTCGCGCTGTTTCCCGACACGGGTGCTCCAGACGCACCGCCATTTTCCACCTTCTATGGTATTCTACTTTGAATGCTATTCACCTGAAAACTCTTGAGATTTCTGTGTCTATTTATTATTTTGATCAGGTTCCATGTTCCCTACCTCCAATTTCTCCACCTTTCTGAAGCCACTGAATAGAGGTCCCTGTGTCTCTCACTATGACACTGAATTTGTCTACTCCTTAAAGTTCATTGACTTTCACTTTATACGTGGTAAGTTTCAGTTATGAGGTGCATGGACAGCACAACTATTATACCAACCTGACAGACTGAATATTTTATCAGTATAGATTTCACTCTATCTCTAAAAATTCTTTTTGCTGTAAAGTCAATTTTCTCTGGATTGAGTATAGGTAGTTTGGCTTTGATTTGGTTAGTGTTTCCAAAAAATAAACAAACCTATTTATTTCTCTTTAAATTTGATTTATCTACCAATCCTAATAGTTGAGGTCTGCATCTCCCGGTTAGCATTTGGGAGAGCCCAGGGGTATTACCAGAGCTAATGAGGCTGTCCCCAGCAGGTGGTGGCGGAGGGAGCAGGGATGGCTCCTGACCCACAGAACCTTGAGAGTAAATATGTTATTTTGAGCTGACAAGTTGGTGCTATTTCTTATGCAACCATAGAAACTAACAGTTCTGTATAAGTGTCCCCAAACAGAGCAGATCCTGGGTTGCTATTTCAGTGGCCCTTCACATCATTATTCACACAGTTTCTACAGCATTCTGCCTTGCTACTATGAGGTCCCCAACCGAGGACAACAATATGTAAGCAGAGGACATGTCCACCAATAACAATGCCCTTCCACTGAGAAACCATCTTTTTCAAGCTCACTTTTCCTTTGAAGGAACATTCCTAGATATGCTACAGAATCCTCCTTGTAAGTCACTGGATAGAGCTGGGTCACATTCTCAGCACAAAAGGATCACCAAAGGAAAGATTAGTCTCAGCTAATTATAAAAAGCTCAACCAAAATAACCCCTTGCATGAATCTGTAGAAGAGAATAACAAGAACAAATCAAGAATTTGTCACAGATCAAAGATAACTCTTTTCATAGCCAAATAGCAGTCTGAGAGAGCCTCCTACTGATTTGTCAAACAGTAATTTTGTAAATTATGATAATAATCATTGCCAATGACATCTGCAGATTATTTGAGGGTACTTCAAAAAGTTTATGCAGAGATTCCCATTACCTTTTAATTCTATTTTTCCACACTTTTTGAAGTACCCTCATTGTTTACCAGGTGCCAGGTAATATTTGAAGCACTTTATCTGATTTCCTCCTCACCATGACGCTTTGAGGCAGGCTCCATTATTACTCCCTTACTGAATATGAAGACAGAAGCCCAGAGTGCCTACTACAGTCTAAAGTCACACACAAGTGGGTGTCAGAACAATCGTGCTGCCCTATTTGTGGCAGGACACGCACAGCACTCCATCACAGCAAACAGAAACACACACGATCTCCCATTTCCATGGCACTTGGTACACACACTTATTCCTATGCCGCTGCCCCATTTAAAGAAATGAGAAACAAAAATGAAGGGAAAACCACCTTTCCAGACACTTCTTTTCACTGAGTAGAAAAAAACGAGTATTATTCACAGCTGCTTAAATTAATTCAGACTTATACTGTTAACAATTGTGTAACTGATTTCTGCATTCCTATGGAAATCTTTTTTATTATTCCGTTTTTTTGTTGTTTTTGAGTTTTTAAAATTGTAAACCCTTTCTAGTTTTATTTGAATGTGTTTAAAAGTATCCAAATAATTCATTATCCTGCTTTGTGCTTCTCATAAAGTACTTTTGAAGTAGATCTGTTCCAGATTCTTTTTCTTCGTCTCTTCTTCTCAGAAGCAGGTAATTTTGTGTCCCGTACTTTTTCCTTTTCCTTCAAACAGCTAAGAGCATTGGGAACACTTATTTTCTTGCACTTTTTTCTTCTCCATTCAGGGTTTTTCACTAGCCCTGTTCCTCTTTGAATTGCTCAATTCTTTGTTTCTCATGCATTGAGACAAGCTGACATGACTCTACTGCTTTAATAAAGGCAATTACTTTGGCAGAAGGTAGGTCCAAGACTATAGTGTTCTGAATAATAGATATGAGGGGAACCCTAGGCTTTTTCTTTACTTTCACAGATAATGATCCTGTGTTTGCCACAAAATACTGAAGGATTTCCCTCTTCAACCATTGAAAACAGGCATTCTGATTCACTCATTGCATTCTTGAAATGGGGACAATTTCAAACCTGGCCTGTTTTTGCAATCGGTTTTGCCCCATATAAATCCTTTCCCAATGTTTCTCTTTTAACACACATCTGGTGGCGCACAGCTGTGTCTCCCCCATAATTTAGTGGGGTAGCTACTTCCACAGCTGGATGCAGCCCCAGTGCAACCTGACAGGTGCCATCCTGCAGGATCTGGTATGGTTTGTGGACTCCAAAATTGTTGCAGAAGAAGCAATGATGCATCTAGGCCATGTTTTTGCCTTGTGGTCTTCATGCCTGGTTTACCAGGACCAAAGCCAGTGGACCAGGAAGCAGCAGCAAATGCCTCATGCACGCCCTTAATCTACTAATGTACCCAGCATCAATCTTCCTATTCAAGCCACTGACTGGCTCTTTGTTAGTTTCAAACATTAATAAAACATCTTCTTTACTTGAGACAGTTTTGCAATAATGGTCATACAAATTTGCCTACAATAGCACAGCAGAAAATAGTATGCAGTGAAATACTTTAGACTTAATATATTTAACAGGACATAAAGAAGTTAGAGTAGCATTTATGCGGAAAATTCTAATGTAAGTCTTAATTCTAAAATAAATAGATGCTAATAGCACTTTCTATACAAATATTTAAAAAATATTTCTGAAATGGTATTTATTATCATTATTATTTTTAAAAATTTACATCTGTATTACCTAAATTGATTTTCATTCATTTCAAATTTCCTGATATATAAAAACTTAGAAACTTAGGTTGAAAGCTTTGACACATTAAAGATAATTATAAAGATTTACTTTATTTTCACTATAAAATGTGATGTCTCTGCCTGATAAGGTGTTTCCTAATTGTTGTGTTGTTTCTCCCTATAATTTGATTTTCCCATAAACTGACTTGAGAATAAAAGAAAGCAAAACAGTATTCTGTCCCGTGTGAATCATCTGATATACAAGGACTGGAAACTTCTCTCAGAAAGTTTATAAACTAAATTAGCTACAGTGGGATGGTTTTAACACAAACAGATCACATATAAAATGGCTCAACAGAGTATTTCTCACTAATGTAAACTGCAAATGGAAGTTTTGGGGTAGAGGTGGGAAGGTCTCTGCTCTCTTCAGTCAATTTGTTCTGTGTTGAATCATGGTGGCCTTCTCCCACTGATGGCTCCCAAGTCCACCATAGGGGTCACCAGTACTTCAGTCCCAGACAGCATGGAAAATCAGGGAAAACAGCATGGAATTTTTTTGCTGCCAGTCCTGGAAGTAATGTTCATCACTTGTATCCAGATTCACCTGAAGAGAGCTCAGTTACAAGGTCCCACACACAATAATTGGAGGCTGAGTATACAGGCTAACTGTGGGTACAAAAGAAAAGATAGTGGATTGGGGAAAATACAAAGCCAATTTCTGCCACACAGGATTTCTCCCTTGTGCAAATTCTTTGAGGACTATTGTGGTGTGAATTATGACAAAAGATGTTTCCACATTCATTACAGTTGGCTTTCCATATCCACAAGTTCCATATCCACTAATTCAACCAATTGTGAGTCAAAAAAATTTGAAAACAAAGTAAAAAATAATAATACAATACAAGTAAAACCAACAGAACAGTAACACAAATATTTACATAGTATTTACATCATACTCAGTATTATACATAATCTAGAGAAAATGTAAAGCATATGGCAGGAAGTACATAGGCAAAACCCCCAAAATACACCCCTTTATACAGGCATTTATTTTTTTATTTTATTTTATTTTTTCCCTTTTTGTCTTTTTTACTGACCAGCAACGGGATCACAACCCTCAGTGTTGCACCCGCACCGCGCTCAGCCAGTGAGTGGGAACCGGTCTCCACATGGGATCCGAACCCTCGGCGGGAGTGCCACCATGATCCCAAGTGGCACACTCTCCAGTGCGCCACCAGGCCGGCCCTATACAGGCATTTAAGCATCTGCAAATTTTGCTATCTGAGAGGGATCCAGGATCCAATCTCCTGTAGATATTGAGGGACACCTGCACATTTATGGGGACTCCATTAGTGTGAATTCTCTAATACATCTTTCAGTGTGACTTCCTGAAAAGGTTTTTCCACATTCATTACCCTCATACGTTTTTCTCCCCTGTGTGAATTCTCTCATGTCTAACAAGGGCTGAATTCTGGCAAAACCTCTTCCCACAGTCATTACATCCAAATGGTTTCTTACCTGTATGAATTCTCTGATGTGAATTAAGGTTTGATTTACGGTGGAAAGTTTTTCTACATTTGTTACATTCGTATGGTTTCTCACCTGTGTGAATTCTCTGATGTCTGGTGAGGTCTGAATTTTGGTTAAAAGTTTTTCCACACTCTTTACAATCATATGGTTTCTCACCTGTGTGGGTTCTCTGATGTACAGTGAGATCTGACTTCCGGTAAAAGGTTTTTCCACATTCATTACACTCATAGGGTTTTTCCCCTGTGTGAATTCTCTTATGTCTTGTGAGGTCAGACTTCTGCTGAAATGTTTTTCTACATTCACTACATTCATGGAATTTCACACCTGTGTGAGTTATCTGATGTACATCAAGGTCTGATTTACAGTAGAACATTTTTCTAAATGCATATGATTTCTCACCAGTGTGAATTCTCTGATGCCTGTTGAGGTGTGATTTACTGTAGAAAGTTTTCCCACATTCTTTACATTCATATGGTTTCTCACCTGTATGAATGCTCTCATGCCTGCTGAGGTGTGACTTCCAGTGAAATGTTTTTCCACACTCATTACATTCATAGGATTTTTCACCTGTGTGAGTACTCTGATGAATCCTGAAGTGTGACTTCAGGCAAAAGGTTTTTCCACATTCATTACATTCATATGGTTTCTCAGCTGTGTGAATTCTGTGATGTACACTGAGACAGGATTTACTGTAGAAACTTTTATTACATTCTTTACATCCATATGGTTTCTCACCTGTGTGAATTCTCTCATGTTTAATGAGGGCTGACTTCTGACAAAACCTCTTCCCACAGTCATTACATTCATATGATTTCTCACCTGTGTGAATTTTCTGATGTACCTCCAGCTCTGATTTGCAGTAGAATTGTTTCCTACATTCTTTACATTTATATGCTTTTTCACTTGTGTGAACTCTCTGATGCCTGCTGAGGTGTGACTTCTGGTGAAAGGTTTTCCCACACTCATTACATGCATAGGGCTTTTCCCCTGTGTGAATACGCTGGTGAATCTTGAAGTGTGAGTTCAGGATAAAGCTTTTTCCACATTCATTACATTGATAAGGTTTCTCACCTGTATGAATTCTCTGATGCACATTAAGGTATGATTTACTGTAGAAAGTTTTTCTACATTCTTTACATTCATACGGTTTCTCACCTGTATGAGTTCTCTGATGCCTGGTAAGGTCTGACTTCTGCCAAAACCTCTTCCCACAGTCATTACATTCATATGATTTCTCACCTGTGTGTATTCTCTGATGCACATTGAGGTGTGATTTACTGTAAAAAGATTTCCAACACTCTTTGCATTCATATGGCTTCTCACCTGTGTGAATTCTCTGATGTCTAATGAGGGCTGACTTCTGGCAAAACCTCTTCCCACAATCATTGCAGTCATATGATTTCTTACCTGTGTGAATTCTCTGATGTACATTGAGGTATGATTTAGTATAAAAAGATTTCCAACATTCTTTACATTCATAGGGCTTCTCACCTGTATGAATTTTCTGATGTATAGTGAGGGCAGACTTATAGTAGAAAGATTTCTTACATTCTTTACATTCATATGGTTTCTCACCTGTGTGAATTCTCTCATGCCTGTTGAGGTGTGACTTTTGGAGAAAGATTTTTCCACATTCATTACATCCATAGGACTTTTCCCTTGTATGAATTCTCTGATGTACATTGAGCTGTGACTTACTGTAGAATATTTTCTTACATTGTTTACATTCATATGTTTTCTCACCTGTGTGAATTAGTTCATGTCTAACGAGGGCTGACTTTTGGTCAAACATCTTCCCACAGTCATTACAGCTATATGATTTCTTACCTGTGTGAATTCGTGAATGGACAGTGAGGTGTGATTTACTATAAAAAGATTTCCAACATTCTTTACATTCATATGGTTTCTCACCTGTGTGAATTATCTCATGTCTGCTGAGGAGTGACTCTTGGTGAAAGGTTTTTCCACATTCATTACACCCATAACACTTTTCCGCTATGTGAATTCTCTGATGTATAGCAAAGTCAGGCTTCTGATAGAAAATTTTATCACATTCACTAAACACACAGGGCTTCTCCCCTGTATGTGTTCCCTTACGTGAAGTAAGATGTGACTTATTAATGAAAGGTTTTTCACAATCACAGTTATGGAGTTTTTCTCCTGTGTGTATTTTTTCATGTTTAGTGAGTTTATGCTTTATATAGAATGTTTTCCTACACACACTACATTGAAACGTTTTCCTAGATACCTGACTTATATCTTGGGCAATCAAAGCTAACTCATCCAATAATTTTCCATGTTGATTATATTTACAGGATGTCTCTACTGTATGAATCTTCTTATCTGTAAATATTATTGGCTCTGTGTTGAAGGCTTTCTCTTGTTCACTCTGTTCAAAATGATGTTGCCCAGATTGAATCTTGCTATGCTGACTAAGATGTTCATGATGTCTGTACAATTTCCCAGTTAAAGTATGGCCTTCAGTTTTCTCTGTAGCATGCATCTCACCAGGCTCTCTAAAAATAAGTGTGTTTTGGCACACATTAAACTCCTCAGACCTCATTCTTGAATAGTTTCCAGTTGAAATATAGGTTGAGCTCAAATTAAATGTTTTTCCCAACTCAACTCTCTCTTCAGTTGATGTGTTGCTGTTGGTGAGCTCAACATGCCACAAATGTTTATCATGACTTTCATGACTCCTCTCAATTAGTTCATCAACTATCTGGACATCTGAAGTGAAAAAAACCCAAAACAACAACAAAACAAACCAAAAAAGCCATATCAGTGAACTACACATAAGCATATCTTATTGAATGCTCATGTAAAGGTAAAGATGTTCCTTCCAATCCTAGTTCATAGGATTTTATAAATGGGTATTGGACTTATGAGTATATAGGTTTTCTTCCTACTGACAATGTAAGAAGTAGTATTAATGTATTTTCTAATGTTAAATCATGCTTTCCTTTTCTTCTTTACTCGATTTTTCATTTATAATTCTTGAGGAAATATTTCATAAACATGTTTGCCCACTGCCTAGTCATAGTTTTCAAATGAGTGCATATCACCTGCCATTTGTTCACCCTGTTCTATTTCTCTTTCTTATTTTTATATCATCAGTGGGTGTTTCCTGCTGCTCTCTTTCACATTATACTGCTTTAAAGATGGCAATGTTTTCCTGGCTCAGCTACGTGTAGGTGCAGGAGTGAGCCAGTTTTCTATCACATACAGAAGAATAGAGTTGAGGTTCAGAATTTTGCACCTATGTTTATATAGTTTTCATTCTTCCCTGGGGAATGACTATGGGCATCTGAACATTCTTCTAATAAAAAAATATTTTTTACTAGTTAAAAACAGCTTCTTCCAAATTCTCATTTAACAAGACTTTCTGCACTTCTCAAAACCAATACAGTACATGGTGTTCCAGTACACTACCCTGGGTACCATTTCCCAGATGGTCTAAAACAGTTGTTTCTGCAACGCAGTCTCTGACCACCATCATTGAGAAATGTTTCATTTCTTTTTTTTAGCTTCACCTCAGGTGAACTTGTATTTTTCCCATAATTTTTTATACACACACTCCTGCTTGATAATTTAGTGTTTCTAAAGGTTTTTGTTTCATGCACTGAAGTTTTGGCTGTCTTATATTTTCAAAAAAAAAATAAAGCCTCCTCTACATTTTTCATACTTTTTGTTGTTTTAGAATGATTTCCATAAAGAGAGAAGAAAAATGTTAACCTTTCTTTTTTTTTTTTTTTTTTTAAGGGGCTGGCCGGTAACGGGACCCAAACCCTTAACCTTGGTGTTGTAATACTGTACTCTAACCCATCAAGACAATGAGCCAGCTCTGAAAAAGGCTAACTTTAAACTCTTTTCCCAAACAGCAGTATAAGCCCCTAAATACTAGACCCTTGGTCTCAAGAAGAAAAAATTTTAACCTTTTTTTTTTTTTTTTTTTTTTAAGTGGCTGGCCGGTAACGGGACCCAAACCCTTAACCTTGGTGTTGTAATACTGTACTCTAACCCATCAAGACAATGAGCCAGCTCTGAAAAAGGCTAACTTTAAACTCTTTTCCCAAACAGCAGTATAAGCCCCTAAATACTAGACCCTTGGTCTCAAGAAGATTAAATAATGCACTCATTTGGTGTACGTAAATTAGCTGTCCTCAGGTCTGTGACCTGGAAAATAAATGGTAGAAATAGTTGAACACTGTCAACATCTGCTGGTCTTTAGTCTTCCTGGCCTCTACCAAAGATGAACTGACTGACCTGGGAGGTTCTGGATTGGTTCTTCTAACATCCATGGCTCTGCTCCTTGCTCCAATTTGAAGATCACCTCAGGTTTGGTAAAGCAGTGTCCTGTTAATGGGAAATAACATATGACTTTGCCAAACTGCTAAGGCAGGTCTTTGAAAGAATGATAAGAGCTCAACTTCAGAAGCTGTGCAATGAAGGGGCTGATTTGACCTTTTGTTAGAAAGAGATGACACTCATATTTGTCATGAATGAAATCTAACCTAAATAGTATTAAACCTTTTAAATGGTTCCTTTATGTACCACCAAAGAAGAAAGTCTTGCTTCTGGGATGTATGGAGGTGTTTCACTCACCCAATGACACTAGGTTGCTGTAGGTCTCCAGCATCACATCCCTGTACAAAGTCCTCTGAGCATCAACCAGGTCCTGCCACTCCTCCCAGGTGAAGTCCACAGCCACATCCTCAAATGACACCAATCCCTGTAATGGCACATTTCTCCTGAAGTCAACAGCCCTGGGTCACTAAAAAGAAATCTGGCAGTTCACATTTATGTGTGTGTGTGTCTGCATGTGCATGCACATGTGTGTGCATGTGTGATATGTATTTTACATAAGATACAGCTTCTTTGTAATGCATATGGGGGGAGAAGGAAAAATCACAGCAAAAATATCTTGCCAATGAAATTATTTATTAAGTATTAAAAATGCTATTACCATGCTTACATTATAGATCTAATACTATCGTTGTTGCTCATAATAAAAGTATGAATAAAATTCTGCTCTTCCAAGGAGCTTATAATTGGGTATGAAGACTAGATAGTTAAGGGAGATGGAAAAAAATATAGTTCTATTTTGTGTTCAGTTTGCACTTTACTGAGATGCCAAAGATATTTAGCTCTTCCATGTGAGCCATATATTCTCATAAACATATGGAGACATCAAAAGTCCAGTCTCAAGAACACAAAGAACACAGCCTACATTAATAGAACTATACACAGCACTCTGTCTAGGTGAATGATCCTGTGCCATGATAAGAGATAAACACAATATTGAAGGAACTAATTAGGGAGTGATTCTGTATTTAACTTTTTGACCTAATTCTAACAACAAAACATTTTATGCACTTATTGTTGTATTTTCTTTACTTATAAATTGAAAGCACATACAAAGTCATCCCCAAATTTCTTCCCTAACATACCAAGAATAACACACAAGAATTGCTTGTGTGCATTCTAGGGTGAAGACCTCTACTTTTCAAACGACAGGGTGTAAATAATGAGATCCTATATGAACAGGTAAGTTACATGACCAGATTTCCCTTTTAATACTCATCCATTAGAAGAAGAAAAGGTAAGGGCTTAAGAGAGAGTCAAAAGGAAAAAAAACTAGGGTGACAGATCACCACATACATCAGGACATAAAGCAGTAAGCATACAGAAGATGGGAGTAATTCTATACGAGAATAAAATTAAACAAACCCAAACAGGAACAAAATGTGGTACTAATTTCCTGTGCAGAGGTAAAATTAAGAGTTTTACTCCCAGGCTATCTACATGATCACAGCTATTTAGGTAGGGGCACTGTAAAGTGAAATTTTGAAAATGGGAAAAAAATATGAAAAGTGAAACATACTTGGACACATTATATTTGAAGAACCTGTGGGGATGACCTAATGGCAATTAAAATGGAAGAAGAGAAATAGACTGTAAATACCCAGAAAACATTTTCTGAGTTTATTCCACAAATGAAGTATTAAGAAGCCTACCATATAATTTATCATATTCATAGTTCTACGAAGCAAATAATTCCTTGATTACCCACATAGACATTATGGAGGCACTTTCAGAAATACATTTTATGTTTCTATTTTTGCATATAAAAGCTTGGAAAACACTCCATCCTAACAACAACCAAAAAGTAGAAGACATAAAAAAAAAAAAAAAACCTCTTCTTGAATACATATGAGAGGAGAAAACACAAGGCAAACCACCGTCCCCAAGATTAGAGAGGCAGACAGGCAAATATATGAAGTCAAGGCTTACAGGAGCAGAGACTTACTAGCAGAAACCACCATGGGAGCCAGAGCTAGAGCAGGACAACCTGATTTGTGACTGAGAAGGAGGCTCAGCATAGACAACTTTAAGAGTTAAAAACTCCAGGGGGACCAGGACATAAATGGGCCAGCAGAATATTGTAGAATTTACCTCCCAGAGCTCGACCAGTTTCATATAGTAAATATTATTATTTTTAAGGATGCTTCCTCCTAGTAAATATTACTAGTCTATATACCTGGAGTTCCAGATGACGAAGACATTAGATATGCTTACCCTCCCCCAACCCAACTTAACACTTCCCTACATGCACAGCAGTAAAAGTGAATAGTTCCTAGACTTATAGTAAATAGTAAAGAAAACGCCCTTCCTCCTTCCACTTGAGGGGAAAAGGCAAAGAATTTGGAAATATGTCAGAGCACTCAGTTCTTCTTAACCAGGCCTGCCCTCAGGAGAAACTACTTAATCAGAGGCTAGCCTGCTGTGTTACTGCCAGAGCCTAAATGGCCTGGGAGAAGGGAAATACCCAACTCCAACATACTCTATGCTAACCTTCCACATAGACAAATGGAAATATCCAATTCTGGATGACTATAGCCATCCTGTCCCTCCTAAGGAGGATTTAAAAAATTAAGAAGCTCTTGTGAACTTCACACTCAAAGACACATGTTCATTAAGAGAAGGAGACTTAATCATAGGACTACAGACACTTCTGCTATGGTCTAAATGTTTGTGTCCCTCCAGAATCAACATGTCAAAATGTAATCCCCAATACACAAGAATCAACAGGTGGACACTTTGGTAGGTGATTAAGTCATGAGGACAAAGCCCTGAAGGGAGGGATTAGTGCCCATATAAAAAAAGCCAAAGCAAACTTCTTTGATTCTTTCACCATGTGAGGACATAGGTCAGGTGCCACCTATGAGGAATGGACCCTTACCAGACACCAAATTTCCTGGAGCCCTGATCTTGGACTTTCCAGCCTCTAGAAATGAGAGGAATAAATTTCCATTGTTTGTATATTGCCCACTATAAGGAATTCTGTTACAGTATCCCAAAGAAGCTGCCACAGTTTCCCCTTCTGCACATCTTATTACTTACTGCACACCATATTACTGAATTCATATTACAGCAGGTCCTTTTCCCTGGTACATTATGTCTGGCTATAAAGAAAGAAAAAAGAAAGAAATTACAAGGCATTCTAAAACACAAAAAACATAATGTGAAGTGACAGAGAAAAGATCAGAAAAAACACATGGCTAGAATGTTGAAATGACTGGACAGAGAAATTCTTAAAATGCTGATTAGCAGGCTAAGAGTTCAAATGAATAAATTAAAAAGAATTCAACAGGGCCGAGCCCGTGGCGCACTCGGGAGAGTGCGGCGCTGGGAGCACAGCGGCGCTCCCGCCGCGGGTTCGGATCCTATATAGGGATGACCGGTGCGCTCACTGGCTGAGCACAGTGTGGCCGGTCTCAAAAAGGACAAAAAAAAAAAAAAAAAAAAATTCAACAACAGATGGGCAATGTAAACAGAGAAAAAGAAGTCCTAAGAAAGAAACATAAATACCACAGGTCAAAAACATTGTAACAGAAATGAAAAATGTCAGGGCTGGCCCATGGCTCACTTGGGAGAGTGTGGTGCTGATAACACCAAGGCCACGGGTTCAGATCCCTATATAGGGACGGCCAGTTAGCTCACTTGGGAGAGTGTGGTGCTGATAATGCCTAGGCCACTGGTCATAGCCGGTTAGCTCATTTGGGAGAGCATGGTGTTGAAAACACCAAGTCAAGGGTTAAGATCTCCTTACTGGTCATTTTTTTAAAAAAAAAAGAAAAGCAATGTTCTAGAAAAGTGGTTTATGAATCTTTTTAATAATCTCATCCGTAAATATTACGTACTTAAGATTGCTTTCCAGCATCTGACATGACACAGAAGGTAGGTCTTTTATCTTCCTCAGTAATTGCATGTGAATATGTACACATACTGACCAAAATAAAAGCAGGGCCTAAGTTGGTAGTTTACTTGAGGTTTCTAGGCAGAAAGTACAAAAAAACTGTTTACTTCTAAATGCGGTATGGCTGGTTGGATAAAGTGAACATCCCTCTCCAACTGTAGAGGATTAGGAAGAACATGTATTAGGCATTAGCCAAGCGGTAATGTAGATAAATAGCACTACAGTAGCTTTGTTTGAAAATAACATTGTGCTGGATATCACAATTTACTTTAGAGATCAAGGTGCAGATGTAAGGATTTCAGAAAAAAATAATGTGACACCAAATCAATGTGAGAAGCGTTATTTGGCCTGTTGAATAGGGTCAAGATTTGAAAGGAGCTGAGGTTCTGAAATGAATAAAAAAGGCACTGGGTTCCTGACCCCCTTGTTCATGCCTGTGACTCTGGGTACATGGGCATGTCCCAGTACTCAACAAAGAGCTGTAAGCCTGCCTGGGGTTAAGTCTTTGATGGAGTTTGGATGTGTTGTCCACTCCAAAACTCATGTGGAAATTTGATCTCCAATGTGGCAGTGTTGGAAACTGACTGAGTCATGGGGGTGGATCCCTCATGAATGGATTAATGCTCTCCCTGGGGGAGGGGGGATTAATGAGTGAGTTATTGCTCTGTTAGTTCCCGCAAGAGCTTGTTGCTTAAAAAGACCCTTGTACCTTCTCTCTCTCTCTTGCTTCCTCTGTCTTCCTTCCTCTTGCCATGTGATCTACTTGTACATGCCAGCTGCCTGCCAATTTTCTGCCATGAGTAGAAACAGCCTGAGGACCATGCCAGATGCATCTGTCCCAGAATCATAAGCCAAATAAACCTCTCTTTTTTATAAATTACCCAGTTTCGGGTATTCTGTTATAGCAACACAAAATGGACTAAAACAGTCTTGGTCCTGAGAATGGACTTTATTGGGCCTTTGGTGCTATGGGGTTTGCTTTTGTCTTCATACTCCATGCAGGTGATGGAAATCTCAGTTCTTACACATTTTGGAAAATACAAATGAAGTGAGAATTCTAAGGGGAATACTTTGATTTCTGCTGTCTCAAATATGTGGTGTTTAAAAAAACATTAATATTTTTAATGGCTTTAACTTGTGCTGTTCATTTCTTTCTCATGTTTTACAACTTTAGTAGACCAGACTGCAAATACATTCCCAGTGATGATTTTGTGTTGTCTTACAGACTTCTTAAATTTGACCAAAAAGTCAAGAGAACTTTTAGCCAATAGCTTTGTTTTGAAATTTAAGTCAAAATGTATTATCAACAACAGATTCTAACTATTGTTTTTACTTTTGTGGGAACACAGGGGCCTGTTTAGAATAGGGAGTGCACATAGGGCAAAAGCCTTAAGTGCACAGAATCAGAACATTACGTGATTAAAACAGCATATGCTGAAAACAGTGAAGATGTTCTGATTCATTAGTAGGGAATA